GTGTTGAATCCCATCCTATTCTCATCCGCCCACCTCTGTAACCTGTCTAGGTCCGATTGCAGCCTATTCCTCCCTTCTAGCATGCCCACATCCCCCCACATCTTAGTGTCATCAGCAAATTTGAAGAGGGTGCTTTTTACCCCCTCGTCCAAGTCACTGATGAAGATGCTGAACAGTGCAGGCCCGAGGACTGAGCGCTGGGGGACCCCACTGCCCACATCCCTCCAAGTCGAAGAAGACCTGTCCACCACCACTCTGGGTGCGGCCCTCCAGCCAGTTGGCGACCCAATTGACTGTGTGGGTGTTGACACCACAGTTTCCCAGTTTCTTAATGAGAACGGGGTGAGAGACAGTGTCGAAGGCCTTCCGAAAGTCCAGAAAGACTATGTCCACTGCTACCCCTGCATCTAAGGATTTGGTGACCTGGTCACAGAAGGCCACCAGGTTGGTCTGACAAGACCTGCATCTAATGAACCTGTGTTGGTTGCCCCTAAGCATAATCTCCCCTGCTGGCCCCTCGTGCATATGCGCCAGAATAATTTTCTCAAAAAGTTTACCCAGGAACAAGGTAAGACTAACTGGCCTATAGTTTCCCGGGTCCTCCTTCCTCCTCTTTTTGAAGATGGGAACCACGTTGGCCCTCTTCCAGTCCTCTGGCACCACAACAGAGCACCACGAGTGCTCGTAAAGCCATGCCAGGGGTACCACAATGACCTCAGCTAATTCCCTCAGTACTCTGGGGTGGAGATCATCCGGACCAGCTGATTTAAATACATCCAGTCCCTCCAGAAGTTCCCTGACTAGTTCCTCACTAACCCTTGACCTAGGTGCGCTTCCCCTGGGATCTAAGGGGGGCCCAGAGGGGGTTGACTATTTTAAGCTTATAGAAATTCTTCTCAAGTGCGTAGAGGCAGCCTGTGTTTGTGGAGCATGCCTTGACTTCTTTTCCCCATGGCAGATGCATGAGGCTTAGCCAGAGATGCGGATGGCTGTGTGTAGGTGACACTGGGTTTGTTGGTGTGGGGCCTAGAAGTTGTGTACTGACAGCTGGTATCTTCGTGATCCTCAGGCAGAGCGGCAAGCTGTGAATACAACTGTTCAGGGTTCTGCCGCTGACCTTGTCAAAACAGCTACTGTGAACATTCAGAGGCGGCTTGAAGCTTTCCCCTCCACAATCAAGTCCCATGGACACCTGGAGAACTCGTTTCAGATGGACAGGGCAGGTAGGCTTCCATTCCTCCTTAGGCCAGAGGGCAAAACTTGGAAGTTTGTAAGAGTCATTTAAAACAAAACTCAGCAGGTGGGGTATTTGGGCAAAGAGTGAGGAACAAGCATTTATTTCCCGATACCATACAAGTCCAAAGGAGGATTGTGTGCTCAGCCTGTAAACAAAAATGGTGTGTTTGCAGCAAAACCCCCAATTACCTGTTTGGTTCAGGGGGCATGTAAAAAATGTGAATAATTGGAGTCAAGAAACTTGGAGGCCACCTGTGCTCTATTCTTTGACATTACCACTGATTTGCTTAGGAAAAGAAAAAAATAAGCAAATGCTTTAGTTCAGCAATTCTCAACCTTTTAGACTTGAAGCAACCCTTATGAAAAGTCATCTCTTAGTTTTCATTCAGTTTTTGACTACAGAAGGACAATAGAGCAACCTTTTATTTTGCAAAAAACTCAGAAAGACCACAACAGATCAGAATGTTTTTAACACCGGATTTGTATTTGAAATCTCTGGGTTTATCTTATGAACCATGTTTGCAAACCTAGCAGTGCTCACATTGTGTGACATTCTGTGGCACCCTTGAAAGGATCTGAAGGCACCCAGGGTGCCACAGTAACCTAGTTGAGAATCACTGCTTTAGTCTCAAAGGCAGCAAGAAAATACTGGGTGTGACAGTTAGTTGTTAAAGAATACCGCTTCCGTTAGAATTAAATCTAAAATGGTTTGTAATGGTGTTGTATGAAGCTTTAATCATCATAAATTTGTGTTGGCCACATTACTCATGAATTAGCAAAGCTATAATCAAGTTAAGCAGCTTGTTCTCAGCTGAATGCCATTAAAACCTTTTATAGTATAGCACAAGCCATGCTTTTTGTTAATCTGCCATTTGTTCTAGAAAAGTTACTTTAGGGGGTCTTAGATTTTTTATTTGTTTGGTATTTCATATCCTTCCATCCATACCAGGAGGCTGTCTTAATACTGTACTTCCAATTACAGGTCTCAGAGCAAAATAATAGCTAATTTTAGAAGCTCTAAAATTTGTCAGGGAGCTTTTTCCTTCATGAAGCCAAGATTTGATGTCATGTGAAGTGTCAGGGCTATGAACCAATAGCAAACTTATCAAATGTCTGTGAGGGCCCAGAGGTAGTTTCCAGTTGTACAATGGTCCAAGCACTGCAGTGACTCGAGGAAAGAGTCATTGAGAGAGAATAGTTTTAAATGCTGTCTGAAGTTCAGAGCCTTGAAATGTGAGCAGCAATCCCAGCTAAAACGAGTTTAAGTGGGCAGAAAGCTTTGGAGGTGCTCAATGCAGTGATCTTTGCAGTTTATCTAGTGGTTGTCTTTCCCCACCCTCTTCCCCTTCCAGAGGTATGCACTGTGTGAGAAGAGTTTTTTCTGCAATGGTCTGTTTAGATGTTATTCTTATTTTTAAAGGTGGAACAAAGCCTTGGATAGCCAACATTTGTAAATGGGATCCCCCTTTCCTCTCTCCTCCTCCACCCCCAACTTGTACCTTTCAGTTGCTAATTTCTGAGTATTTTCTTTAAGCAATTAACACAGAATATACTAAAGGGATTCCACTTTCCTCATGCCCGGCCTGCTGGGATCCAAGTTTGTATCTGTGCCTGTTGTTGTGGGCAATGGCAGCTCATGCTTTTCAGAAACAGTAGCTGCAATTCCAGATTACTGCAGCTGGCTGGCTCGGCAGAAGTTTGCAGGGTTTTTGGAATTAGCCACTTAAAACTATTCTGGAAGAAGAAGAGCAAAATCCCTAATTCATTGCCTGGGAGAATGTTATAAACCAGCTTCTCATTAAAACCAAAATGATTGTGTTTAAAATTTGCTTGTGGAACAGATGGTCTAAGAGATGTGCTTGTCCCTCTTTGTGTTCTGATTCACATCTAGATAATTTAGGGATAAAATGTTTGTTTTGGGAAAGCTTTGCATTAACATTCTCCCTTGCTAGCAGCTCTATGAATATTGATATATAGCATAATAATGACTTATATATGTACCTCTTTAGGCAGGGATATTTTCATTGTTAAGCTCTGCCAGACATGAATCTTGCTGTATAGCATTATGAATGTGTGTTGATCTTTTCGGTGAAGACATACTCCTGTGCGTAATGGGAGTTAACTTTTCATATTTTTGTACTGTTAAACCTATGTAGGAAGGTTAGAGAGGAGGAGAAACAGAAGGATGTTACACCCCATCACGGGAGGTTTCTTCATCCTCCAACTTCATGATGAGCTCCTCTATGAAGTTGCAGAAGATGATGTAATTCAGGTAAGGGGACATTTGCTTTTCTAGCCAGCCTACTATTACAACATATCAGTTAGGTCTGTTTCTTGGGTCCTCTGTAACAGTGATGCTTAACATATCTGACCCTATGGCTGGATGCAGCATGTGGTTGGTCTACAGGTGCAATCCCATACAGTCTGGCCCTGTGCTGGATCTTGTCATGGAATGACCTTGTGCGCTGGTGCAATCTGATGCTTAGAGTCATGTCATTTAGCCCATGGGGCTCCTCGTCAGTCTGGAAACTTGGCAGTGGAGGAGGGGTGGCTGTATTAAAGGCTCTGGTCTTTGCCTGGCAATTAATGCTGCTGCCACTCCCTCACTGGCAAATTTCCAGACATTTGGGGATCCCCAGGGGCTGGATGACATAGCTCCAAGGGCCAGAGATTGAACACCACTGCTCTATAATATGAGTAGCTATAGGTTTGTTAAAATGAATTGGGCAGGCATAAAGTCAGGTATATGCTTCTGGATCCTTCTATGTTATGGGTTAAGCTGGGAATCCCACAGCTAAAGTCTTAGTTGCCAGGCTCAAGATGGGTTGTCCCTAGTTATAACACTGTTACCCTCATGTGCCTCCAGCTTCTGCATTGGCTCTGGACAAGTGAAGTAGCTCCTCTTTAACTGCACTGGGTAATTGTGCTCCCATAGCCATCAGTATTGGTTGGGCAGCTTTTTCTTCTTCCTTTTGGGAATTTCTGCCTCATAGAGCCAATTAGGTGTCTGCATCATGGTGTCTTGGGTCACAATTTCATTTCTTGCGTGGAAAGGTGGACAGGCTGCATTTGGTACTTGTTTTCTCATTTGTTATTCCCTCCCCCAGTCTTTTTTTTTTTTTCCAGGATGTTCCACAACAGCTTCCAGAAATGTGCCCATGCACTCACAAAATAGCTTCCCTGCAGTATGCAAACATACAGGCTGTTTGTTTTGTCTGGGCAAGCTATCCCACCTGTGCCTTAAATATTTCATAGTTTCTAGGGTCGGAAGGGACCTGAGCAGATCATCTAGTCCAACCCCCTGCCATGGCAGGAAGAGCACTGGG